AAACTTTGGACGTTGCACGGCTGGAAGACGGCTGTAACAAAGATTTAGGTTCACTAAAGAGGAAGGTGGAAGTAGTAGCGATACGAGGAAAAAATGTATTGAAGGGGAAAACGCGAATCAGATTTGGTTCGAATTTAAAAATTAAAACTTTCCACCCTCGAAAATGCGGTGAAGGTCAGACGTAATTTTATTTTATGCAATTGGCTAGAAACTAAACACGCACATCTTAATTGGTTCATATGATCCATTAAGTTTGAATGCGTTTCGAATTATTTAAGCACAGAATAAAGAGGGTTTTACTTTATTTATTGAGTCTACTACAACATACTTAGCACCAATGGTTCAACATTACATTTTATATGAATGTCAATGTCAATCATGAATTTTAACTTATAAATATAAATATTTTACTGTTTTTACTAATCAAAAGTCACATTTAGAAATTTAGTACTAACAGTAACAACATCCTAAAAAAATCTGAAAAAATAATCAATAAAATTTTATAAAATTATTTATGTTATATAAATAGTTAGATTTGTATATAATATTCGCTATTTCTGTAATTAAATAAAGAAAATATTTAAAAAGTTAAAATCTAAATAATTTCATTTTAAACAAGTTTACAATAAAATTATTTGCTAATGCAAATGTGAGCATTTCTCATTGAATCTGCGTTCGGTTTAAATCCTGCGATTTAATCTCTTCGGTTTGATGAGATAATACGTAGAGAAACTCTTGTGGATACGCGAGAGTTCGGTGTTCACATGTTAAATCCGTGCAGATGGAAATTGGCGCTCAGGGTATTAGAAGTTTATTAATTAAAGTGATTATTTGCATCGAAATACTCGACGCAATCCGAGCACTAATATATCATAGATAAATCAATAAAATTCCAAATTAATTGTTTTGAAACGAGGAATGGATTGTAATATTTTGTAAAACTATTCGAATTCAAAGAAACGCAAACAATGCACATATTTTCAGAATAAACTAATAATAATGCAAATTCATATTTGTTTTCAGTTTATCAACAATTGTTTACATCTGGTTGATTAAACCACTCCAGTTTTGTTGTACTTTAACGCAAAACTGAAATTGTTTTGTCGGAAACTTCTAAATGAAATTCAAATTGAGTGATTTGTAAGAAATTAATCGGTGATCGAAATGCCAATTAATTATTTACTGTTCTAGTTTAAACTGGAAGGATTTTGAGGAATATAGATAATCCGGTGCGTGAAAGCACTTGAAGCTAATGGATTTTTGAATGTTAATCGATGATCGCTACGGGCTCGATGAGCCACAACCAAAATAACAATACTTACTGACATACCAAACGATCCAAGGTTGTTTTGAAAATATTTTTATACAATTTTTGCTATAAATCAAATTGCGAATAGTTTCAAATAATGAAGAAATTTGTATAGTTTTTATAGATGTAGATAATATTAAATATAAAAAATAGCAATTACAGTTTCTGTTACAATAGCTTTAAATAAACCAATAGATAATAATAAGTAAAGAGCTTAAGCAATTACATATTTTATTTCTTCATAGAAATACAAATATCCATTAAAATAATTGCTATTTATCTTTGTTTATTTCCATAAAGAATTCCAAAAAGATTGAATACCGCACGAAGAAACCTTGAAGAATCGTTGTTAATTGTATATTTTTATTTTATTTTTCAACGTAATTAAAAGAATTTCGAAAAAATAAATGGAAAATTGTCCGATTGGATATTTTTTGCCAATTAGGAAAAATCCATTAGGACTGTTAATTAACGACACACCCAATTAGAAGAATGAACGCAAACTTTATCTAGTTATTTCCCTTCTTTTTTAATACATTTTTCATTTCGTCAATTGAAATGTTTGGATAATTAAGGATTATTTCGAATGTTTTGTTATTTTTACTAAAGCTTTAGCTTTACTAAAATATACGTACGTTTTTCAGCTTGTTCGCACGTTTTTGTTTATAATACGATTTATTTTAAATTATTTTTTTGTAGTTTCTGTTACGTAATCCCACCTGTCAAAAGTTGCACTGCATCTGTCAACGTCTTTTGTTTTTATATGTATATATAGATTATGTTTTTCGCGAAAAGTTTGTTACGTGTCGCGCGATTTTTCCGCGTTTGATTCGATTTGCGACGTTCGGACGAATTTCTCGGAGTTGGCAGCGGCGGCTACTTTGATGATGCGCGTCGAGTCAGGAGCGTCTCGGGCGTCGTTTCCCGGCGTCCCGACGTCTACTGGATAGGATTCCCCCTCCCTTCTGCAGCCCCACCGAACAAATGCTCAAGGCGACGCGTGCGCCCTCTATGGACCGCATAATAACTAGCTCACGCCGCCCCCGCACGATTTTCGCAGAGAGAGAGAGGGAGTACCTAGGAGTCCTGGCCTGGCTGTATTTCAGTGTGACAGCACAAACACTACAGCTGATGGTGAAATATTGATTTCTTCAGTTTGTAAGCAAAGTAACTCGAAGGAACGGAGAAGAATGAGAGCACGGAAAAGAAGCGCAGCATCAAATCGAAAGGACGAACGGGCATATGAGAGGATGAGCATCACTATTTCGAATCTTCGTTAGCGCACCTGGAATAACCACTTCTCGGAAATTACACGACATTCATCTCCGAAAAGCATTTTATTTCCGCTAAATCCGCATGATCCATCTTTCTCGTCATAAAGTCAATATTTGCAGGAAAAATTGCGCTTGCAATAATTGCCATCATCAGCTAGTGTCAATATTGTTCACCATCGTAATTAATGACATCTATCATTCAACTGATATTTAATTATTTTAAATTAATAAGGAAAGAAATAATGTATCAAATATTGAAATTTATTTACACAAATTATTATTTTGATTTTTCAAACAAATACATCACACAAACATTATTTAAAACCTGTCGAAAACTGTAATTTCATTAAATTCTAAATATATTTTTGGAAACTCCTAAATATAACAAATATGTCAAACTGACAAAAATATTACATTTTGTTTGAAATGGAACATTTATAATTAACATAAATAAAATAAAAATTAAAGAATCTCGAAATGAATGAAAGAGCTTTTGTGTTTAAGGATCAATGTTTTTATGTACCCTTCTGGATTCAGTTACATAAGACACGTTCTGTCGTAGACGCGAATGTTAAACATCATTCTGTACAGCCTGCTTTCATTGTCTGCCTACAAACAATGGTATGAGCAGCGATATTTGATAAAGGGAAGATTCCTGTTGCTTTTCACTTTGATTTGCACTCATTTCTTAGCAGTCCAAGGCAATTTTCAAAAAAGTTCATTTGCAGTTGATTTATCTTGCCATTAGCACCTTACAAAATCAAATTTCTTTTGTTAGCAATTAATGAATGTGCGAGATCATAATAATATGAGGAACTGAAGACAAACAGATCGATTTCCTTCGACGCCACTGATCCCATTTAGGGAGCAAACAAAAAAGGAAAAATGGGGATTTTCTCATCCCACTTTATTATCGCTCCTTCTTTTGCTATCGGAAAGTCTTTTCTTCCCTCTTTTTCTCGTTCTGCTGCATCCATTACTTTACTTCTTCTTCTCACCTTTCTACCTTCCCTGGCTCGACTACATCGGAATGGTCCTTGAAAGTAAGATCAAACCTATTGGTTTTTCTTTCTTTTATTCCCTCGAACGAAGATCTACTTCTCGCTGAAATTTCCAATTGGATTGCAGAGCTTAAACTCTACTTACACGTTTCCACCATTCACGTATCGAACACCATTCCCGATGTGCCAAAAATCCGCGTGTGTCCTAACCAGATTTATAGTACATATTCAACATATTTGTGTTGTTGTTTTATTTTTGAACACAAAATGGAATTTATTAGTTTATTTTTGTATGCATATGCCTTTATAATGAAAATGTTACATAAAAGCATCGTTACATAATTTTTACATTACAACTTATAGATTAATTATAATATTATAAATCGTGCAGAAAGACTTATGGTCAATAGCTTTTTGAAGCAGTTGATTTTTTTGATTAATGATATTTATATTATTGTATTGAGTTTTTTTAATTTTATAATTTTACTATTATCATGTTTTTCATCTATTGTGACTTGGCACTTTTGTGCGGGCCGTTCCCAGCAGTGCGATCTTTTGCACCTGCTCAACGCTAACTCTACATGATAGCTCTTCCAGGTATTTCTGGAATCCGATCTTCAGAGTTCCGAGAGCTCCAACCACAACCGGAACCACATTGGTCTTTGTCTTCTACATGCGCGCAATCTCAATTTCGAGGTCATTATATTTGCGACCTCCTTGGAATTTTATATTAAGGTTTTTAATTTTAATCAAGAATTTGATTTTAATTTTGAAATTGTTATATTTTAGATAGAAAAATATTTGTTTAATTTTTCACGATTTTTTTTAATTTCTGTTAAATGGATAAAAATGTAACAATATTACTGTATTAAAATATAATGCATGTAAAATTTTACTTTCTCTTTTGTTCAGTGATAAATAGAAGTTTAAAATATTTAAAATTCTTTGTGTAAATTAATCAAAATAAAACAAAGATTCTAATTTCGTTGATAATAAATAATTGAGTTTTTTATTTATGGATTGAATTGTCGTTTATAAGATTAGAAAACGTATGCAAAATTCTGAGTGAAGAGAATCACATAATTGTATTGAAAAATGACTGTAATCGAAGATAGATAGGAGAATGTAGGGGATGATTACAGGGAAAGAAATGGAGTGCAGAGATGAGATGAGGTTGTTAAGCGGTGTGAGTCGCGAGTAGAGAAGTATTAAATGGGTTTCTAGGTCGATCGATAGGCCCTGTGGGGAGAGTACAAAAAAATGTAAACTGTACATGAGGATGAGGTTGTATGCAGACAAAACACACATTCCGGAAAGTGAAAAAATAAAGAATGCGATTTATTCATTCATTGTTTGCTTTTTTCGGGGGCAATTAGTAAATTTTCAAATTTCGGGAACGTTAACGAGTCTGGAACAACTTTCATAAAGGCTAATCGACTCAAAACACATAACAAAATCCTGATTGGATTCGGTATAAATACGGAGGGTTTCCAATTGGGAAATCATAGTTTCAACATCCAACGAACTAACAACAACAACAACTACATCAATATGAAAACCTTCGTAAGTATTATTTTGGTTTATTATTTTGTGTAAACGATAATAATTATTTCGATTTCAGATTGTTATTGCCGCTTTCGTAGCTCTGGCCGTCGCCAAACCTGCCGAGCCAAAGGTCTCCTTGAGCCAAGATACCCTTGGCAATTACAATTTGCAATACGAGACCGAAGATGCCAGCAGGAGCGAGCAAGGATTCCAGGGTGGTAAGGTGATCGGAACCTTCACATACACCGACAAGGAGGGAACCGTCCACACCATCAACTACATTGCTTCCGAGGCTGGATTCACCGCTGAAGGAGATCTTCCTCAGCAGGTGCAGGAGACTCCTGAGGTCGCCGCCGTACGTGCCCATCATTTGGCTGTCGTCGCCGAGAAGAAGGCCTCTCTGCCACCTCTAGAAGAGGAGGAAGAAAAGGAAACCTTCGAAATACCAGCTAAGCCAGCCCCCAAGGACATCATTCCGTCACCACCGAAGCCGAAGACCGTTGACAACAGCGCTGAAATCGCCGAAGCCAAAGCCATCCACTTCGCTGCCCATAAAGAAGCTCTCGCTCGTCTTGCCGCAGCTTACGAATCTATCGCTGCTCATGCTTAAACCATCTACCTCATACACCCCTATACCAACCACAATAAATACTTTTATGTTTGTTTTTTGATTACACGTAATCTTTTTCTGACTCAAAATACCTTTCAAACTTACATCATAGCTTCTTGATTCACAATTGATTCAAAGTCGTTGTTTATTCAAAAAAGCTTTCAATATTAAATTTTTATTTTTAATTATGTTATTAATAACATGATAAAAATGTTTTATTATTACAGTAGGATTACTTGATAAAAGTTTATTTAATAAATAAAATAAGTTTTCTTTCGACGCAGATGCTACAATATTTTCTATTCACCTAATAAATCTACCGGACGGCCAAAGTTTTACGCGAATTATTTCGATTTTATTTACATAAAGTATTGTATTAAATTTTACGCATTTACGATATTCTCGCACTTGGGTGCATTTATTAACAGACATTGATAATTCTTAAGTTTAAAGTTTTCCATGCATTTTTAAAACAAAACTAAGTTATCATTTTGCTTTACTTTTTAAAAGTACAAATATATATATATATATATATTATATATGCTTTAAAATTAAATTGATAATTTACTGTTAAATTTTCTATTGTAGTTTTTTTTCTCATAGTGTTTTGATTGAACTGATTTTGCATGGTTTATTTGCTCAGGAAGTGCATTTACTGTTTATTACTATATTTTTTTATTGAATAAGCCTTGATTGATTACAGCACTAATTACTCCTTTCTAGAATTCGGCGATTTCTTCATTTATTATAGTAAAAAAATAGCATGTGTGTCGAAATTGGTTTCGATTTTCGCACGATTCGTTGAACAGCGTTAATCTATTCTTGTATATATATGGGAGCGTTTGGAGTCCATCGATATCAGTACAATTTGTTCATCCAAACAACCAACAGTCCAACAAAGAATCATGTACAAGGTAGGTGGTTTATTCCAAACTATTGTCGTTATGATGATGATGACAAACCGTTCATTTGCAGCTTGCTGTCCTCGTAATCGTCGCATTCGTTGCTGCTGACGACCATCACCAGGCCACCTCTTATGTAAACATAAACAGTCATTTTATACCTGTTGCCGGGGGCGACGGAGGATCGCACGGACACGCCGGAAAGGAGGAACACCACCCTCACGTAATAACGCTCATTTCATCCAATACGAATTACAAATCTAGCTGCACGTACTCCAAGCAAACAAGCAACAAGTATCGACTTTCGTAATTCCGAATACGTTCGTTTCAAACTTTTTTCAATAATTTCAAGAGCATGTTTAGATGACAAATCTATTAAGTAATTTGCAGAATTAAATTTGATTTGTCGTCTCAATCACATTTAGTCTCCAACATCTCAATGGTAACACTATAGTAATATAATTTATTATTCCTGTCATCAGGATGATAGTTGTCGGTGACGTTTCAACTTTGTATTTCGAAATTGTTTGATTGTTGTTCAATTTTATGTGTTTAGTTGGTAATGAACTTATTATGATTCTCAGCATTATCCACTGTACAACTACAAGTATGGAGTGGAGGATCTGCACTCTGGAGATGTGAAGTCTCAGCACGAATCAAGGGATGGGGATGTTGTCAAGGGCGGATACATTGTCGTTCAACCGGACGGCGTCATCAGGAGCGTCGATTACACCGCAGACAAGCACAGCGGATTCAACGCTCAGGTCTCCTACACCGGACACGCCGTCCATCCGCAGACCGCATACAAACACCATGGCGAAAGCCACCACTGATCTATTATTCATTTCGCAAGCACTAAATGAGACCACATACACCACGTACCAAAAACAATGTTCATTCAATTCTAAAATCTAAAATAAATATCAATATACAAAGATATATCTTTCAATATTGCCTTCAAACTTGTTTCCTGTCACTTTTGATAGCTATCATAATAAACGTCAAATTATGATATAATGTGTTGTGTCTAACTAATAATATGATAAAAACCAATATACAGAGGGACCAATTCCATCAAATAAACATGCTTAAACTCCCAACACCCATATTTACTTAAGTTCATAGGTAGAATAAGAATTTTATCCTTATTCTTAGATGAAATGTGAACAAGCTACTAGTCGTATTTGTCATATTAACACTTGATCCTAGTTTCACGCATAATTAAGAATAAAACATAAGTTCAACCCGATAACAACAAACAACATTCCGCATTGAATGGATTTTCCATTAACAACTGAATTATCAGCTATTACCTTTGATACCTTACAGCTGTTATTGCGAATTTCAAACTAAGATCAGTCGATTAAATATCGGTAGTGCATGATTTTAGTTTATAAATAAACATTTCATACAAAAACAATGTATTTAATTTTCTTAATATCAAAGCTAGCTTTTATCACTAATATTTTGTAAATAAAAATAAAATACATTTTTTATGACATTTAGAATGACATATTCTGAATGTTGTAAACAAATTAATATGTCATTTAAAAAAACGTTATAAAATGTTGATAAAAAAACGTAATTAATAATCATTTGAAGTAACTAATCAATTGAATGGCATATGAAATTAATACTATTGGATTGTATTAATAGCAATGACTTTTAGTGAACAGATCGAGTGAATGTGATTATGGAATATTGCGCATTGCGCTTATTGAAAAAAAATTATTTAGAAAGAAACACTAAAATATATAAATATTATTTTACGTAGGTTTGAGATTAATAACGTAGATCCACAATTTTGTTACTATCAAGTTACCGGAGTCGCCTCGCCCGGTTTAAGGGTGCAGCAGTTAGTGGAAACATGAAAATGCAAGAATCGCAGTACTCTTCACGTGAATTTAGTTCTATGTTTATTTATTTTACCAACTCCCGCTTCTATTCTAATCCGATCCGCGCTGCGGAAGTAAAGCCTCGCTTTTCCACGATGAAATTCCGATAAAGAGGAATGTTCAATTTCCACTCCCCCGGTTGTAAATGCATTTACATGTACCGTAAAAAATGCGGAGGTAATAACAATATCATTTTATGTACCTGCGAGGTTTTCTTCTTCGTCTCTTTTTCTTGTACGATCCCCAATACTCCAATCCTGGATTACCACCGCCTACACCATTACACCAGGCATGCGATCGCCGCTTGCTCTATCGGAATTAATTAAATTTCCCATGGGGAAACAGCAAAAAAAGGAAACACGCTTTCAATGGAATTGAACTCGGTTCGCTCCTTTTTTTTCATAAAAAAATCTTTGGATTAAAGCAGAACAATTACAAAATTTATAGATTTTTTGTTTATATTATTTTTGTGAGTGCTTGAAGTAAATAGGGAGGATATTCGTGATTCGATGAAGCGTTGAGAATTGCGAAAAGTTTGCGTTTGAAGCTACAATAAAGGATGATCAGCAGAAGCACCATCAATGGCAATGTTTGGGTGTGGAGGAGTGGATAAGAGGAGGAAAAATAAAAAATAACCAGAAATCATCCTGGTTCGGTAGAGCGGAACCGACGATGCTTATCTGCTAGTTGAAATTGAAGCAGCTAAGTCTTCGCGTTTGACCGTAACTTGCGAAAAATTGGCTTTGTTCACCCCAAGAAGCATTCGAATACAAAAAGCCTCATGACAAGTCGATCAGAGAATTATTCACATTCGGAAGAATCAAAACTGCTTTAATTGTTTAGCTAGATGTAGTAAAATACATTTATAGGCAATAATATGCAATATAATTTTAATAATTAAGACTCTCTTAGTTAAAGCTCATATTTGTTATTAAATATGTTTTTTTTTAATAATTAAATTCAATAATTAACAAAAGATAATCCAGGAAAACTAAATTCAATAAATGCGTTCGTGAGAGTAAAGATTACTTTACTATAAAATATTTTATAATTAAAAATTAGACTGAAGTTCAATAGTTTGTCAATAGTTAGTTGTCAACTTTCATGGATTATTGTTTAAATTAATAAATGTCTCGATGGATCAGCTATTCTGGCAATTAATTAAACCTTAGATGGCCATGAAAATTGTGAGCATTATTTCAACAAAAATTATTGAAAAAAAAAACATCAAAAAAGATGTTCATCACTTTTTATAGAGATCAAAAACTTGTAACTCTCTTAATTTATTTTATTTTTTCAATCTGTCATGTAATGTATTTTTGGGAATTTTAGATCCATGTGTCAATGATTTTAATGTGCTTCTTTTGCAAAAGGGAATTGTGGAAATGTTTTGATTGTGTTGTCTTTTAGATTACTACCACACTTCTTTTTACAAGAATCAATGTTAATCATCAGACTGTTAATTTTATATATTTTAGTTTGTTTCCACAATTTAACAAAATTTTGCAACGAGAATTTGCGTTTGAATTTGTTAACGTCTTCAACATTTTGCAAAAAATGATGCAAAATTCACTTGCGATCATCATTACTAAATTCTCCACACTTTTTTTGTCATGGTTGTTTATTTTCTTAACATTTTGAAGTTTTGGTTATGTTACAGCGGTTAAATAATAAAGTATGTAAGAATATCACTTTTTTGCAACAGCAGTGTAAAACAAAAGCGAAACGAATTTAAACAAAGTTTGGCCATCGCACACTTAGATTCATAAAAAATCTGAGAAATATGTTAAGAGAAATTAATTAAGTTGACTATTTCCAATAATCTGAACGTGAAATTGAAATATAGCAACTATTTTCGGACAAAGGAATATATTTATTGATCAAATATCCGAGGTCGTTCTGCCTTAAATAACAATTAAATAATAAAATCATTTGTTATTTAATTATTTCAATAAAACTATATTTATGAAAAGTATACATTTCAAATCAATTACTGCAGTGTATACACAATGAGAATAAATGCATGAACCATCAAAATTGTAATTGCTTCCGGGAAATATTTGGATTACGTAAAGCAAGAGCAAAAGAACTTGAAATACTCTGCATACCATCGATTACTTAACACGAAATCAAAGCTTTTTTTCCTCTCCGGCACAGATAACGAGTGAATTGTGAAAAGCTGATCTAATGACTTGCAACATCTTTTATCCAGACAAACACACACACACACGAAGACAGCAACAATTCTAAACAACGAGTTTTACTTTTTAAAGACACCGCAAAGTGTTTTGCTCGATCGACCAAAAATTGCGGAATTGTCGAACAAATTATGTATTTATATTTTTTTTTGCTCGGTTATTTTAGTTTTTCGTTTACTTTGCGTTCATTTTGCACAACGAAATTATGTTGTAGAATGCATTTCACTTGAACTTGATCCGAATATTCGAAATCGATTCTAGCCGAAGCAATATATAAAAGGTGGCGCGAGTCTTGAACGATCATAATCACTCCTCCCGTTCGGTTCCGAAGAGCACTTCAGCTTCATTTCCATACCTCGTACAGAAATGCTCTCAAAAGTAAGCGATCGATGATTGAGTTTTTCTGTTTGGTTTTCAACTTATTTTTCTGGACTTTTACAGATCTGCGTTTTGATGGCCGTCGCGGCTCTGGTCCTCGGAGGAGAACATCCCACATCTTTCGTCTCAGTGCATAACGTCGTCGGTGAAAATACTTATCACACCGTCGGACATCACAAGGAACCACAACCATTCGTAAATATTACTTAGTTTTATCTATTTAAATATGAATCATCATGAAAAATTAACAATTATATACATTAAATCATGCTTTCCCATGTGAGCTCTAAAACATTTGTTTTATATTGGACCTAGAACGTAACACACGGAACTGCTACTTCCAAAGCTTTCTAAATTTTTTCTTTCTTCTTTACAATTAAATACAGCTGAAAGTCAATTATTTCAAGTAACCATTCCTATAAATTTTCGTGTGTATTTTCAGCATCATCCTAAATACGAGTTCAAGTATGGCGTTAAGGATGGACATACTGGCGACAAGAAGAGCCAGCACGAGGAAAGAGACGGGGATGTCGTAAAGGGTGAATACAGCATTGTGCAGCCCGATGGAGTCGTACGACACGTCCATTACACCGCTGATAAACATAGGGGATTCAATGCGCACGTCACCTATTCAGGACACGCCATCCATCCAATCCATCACGACAAACATTAATTATGCAAGAGCTACAAAATAACGCCCACCACCAAAGTTTGTTATTAATACCTATACTTTTATACCTGTTGAGTTTCCCCTTTTGTTGACTTCATAATAATGCAATTATATATAATTGTTAAGCATTAAAAAAAACTGTTTCATTCATGATTCCCTCTATCGTCAAAAAAATCAATTTATTGGACTAGCAAGAATGTAATTTCGATAACTGAATATTTTTCAATTTATTAAACACAATGAATCAATATTTGCATTATGCATCTCGAACGCAATTAAAACGACACTTTTTTTTAAACAAATCATCACTAGTAACAAAAAATGGTCTACAAAAATATCAATCGCAAAACGCATCAAAAGCTGAATTGCATGAAAAAATATCAATTATATATATATATTTTTTTTTTTTTTGCTGATTAGCACCTGCAGTTTATAAGCGCGAAATAATAAAGTTGTGAGAAAGATGACAGAAGATCATCGGACTAAATGGAAAATATATAATCAATTAAAGCTGTTTGTATACAAAAAAATAGTTTGATTTCACACTAAAAAAGTGAACTTACTTTCTTTCCAACCCAATATTAATTGAATCTTTTTTATTATTTATATAATTAGATTGTTATTTTTGAAAATTTTTGACTTTATTTTCATCATTATCTAAATACGTGAAATTTTGAGCAAAAATAATTTATTTTATCAATAGCCCTTTGTATCAGTTGACTTTTTTCTGAAATTATATATATTTATTTTGTTTTTTCAAATTATTTTATAAACTTAATAAGAAAATTAAAAAAATTGTATTGCTAATTTTAGCTGTAACCTTGTTCCAAATATTGAGAGACGCTGGTGTAATTCACTTGAAACTTAAGGAACAATCATTAAATTCTCTTTTCATTCACTTAATGAGATAATTGTAATTAATTCGCAACTGATGTTCAGAATTAATTGTCGTTATTTTTGAAAATCCCAAATTACGGTTTTCGTCTAATTGAATTGAATTGGAGTTTGAGAAAAGCAATTAGTACAAAATCTTGATGCCACCATTAGAAACACTTTAAAGTTATTAATGACTTTATTGACTGGATCCGAATTTAACGACGCCAGTTATCCAAACGCGCCCACAGTTTGTACGCGAAGAAATTGCAACGTTGCAAACGATATTGTTTTCTCTAATAACCCTTCGAAATAACTACTTAACGTAAAAAAGATAAAGTTATTATTAACAACAACACCACAAATAATATACAATTGCTGACAAATTATTGTTATTTGGTGGAGATAAAAATGGTAACAAAAGTTTGCAAGTTATAATTGTGATTTCAAATGATTTGTCTTTGATTGCAGCATCCATCAATATATTTTGTTTTTAATTTTACTTTCTTGATCATAAACTTCTATATGCTTATTATGTCCAAAATTTATATTTATATCTTCTTTATTCTAATCATATGTTATTTTTTTGTAATTAAATTATAACTTTGTATATTTGAATTTTTGGTATTTTTTACTATTGATAAACTGATTTAGTTTTGTTTCTATTTACTTTCCAATTATGTGTTAAATTAGAATTTAATGTTGCGTGGCAAAATATTCTAACAGATTGTAATTTTTGTATTCTTCTAACAAAATTGAATTTAGCCTACGAAATCCACAATAAACGTTTTTCAAGATAAACACGATCTATTTGTGTTCGAAAAACCGGCTTTGAAGTAATGAAATTAATGTATTTATACTGGCATTCGAACTGCCCATTCCGCATTCAATAACATCTTCGATCTTTCGCAATTGGACGGTAATGCGAAAAACGGTTTATTATCATTCACTTCTAAAACGGATATCGTTACCATTTTACCTACAAAACGACGGTATTTTTTGTTATTGAAAACTGCGTTTTACTTAATTATAATTATTTTTAATTTAGAAGAACTAATTTTATGTGATTCCAGAAAAATGAGGTCGTGGAATAAATCTTTTAGTGTTTGCCACAACTTCAATAACGACATCATAACAATAACATTTTAAAAAGGTAAAATTAGAAAATATATAATTAGTAAAACTCGGAATATTTATAATTCTTCCTTCATTCAAAATTGCGTTATTTTGTAATACTTTATTTTTACAATACAACAAGGGTAGTAAAATGAAACATTTGACATTGTTACATACGTAAAAAAAATAAATGTGTCATCTTGTTGTCATTTACTTTAATTTTTCTCCAGTTTTAGGTTTTTGTTTAAAATATATAAATTATGTAAAATGTGAATGAATGCATTAAGTTTATTTAAAGATTGAATTTAATTAATAATCATGTATTGCACAAAGGGTAATTTAATTATGTTATATTACTCAATTACATGAAATAATATTTAATTGCTATAATTATTAATTTATTATTGATTTAATTAATTCATTATTATGAAGGAAAAAACTTCGATTGTTTTAAATGTCATATTTGATTAACCTCACAAATATGACATTCAAATATCTTCTCGATACAAATTTTAACGTTTTGACATTAACTTTTATTAAAAAAATGACAACAATAAAATGCATTTTGTTTACGAAACAATTCGATTCAAATGCAAATGTTAATTGCGGAAGGAATTCCAAAATTGAAATCGAAGATTAATTGGTTATATAGTCTTCGTCGTCATGCGGACGGACATCCATTTTCGGGATCAGGAAATGGATGTGAATCAGACGGACGAAAATGGAAACAATGGACGGATGGAGGAATGCGATGAAAAAAAATTCTCGCGAATTTGCAATTGGGAAAGTTACAAATCGATTTCTACTCGACGCCCGCAACGCAAGAAAATGGTAAATTAATTTTAACAAAGAAAAAGGTAATTTCGAGCTGCGAGTCAAGTCAACTTATTTAATCAAACTAAACGCCAGTATTTCCGCTCCCCGCCAACTTTTTTTTTATTATTATTAGATCGTTTTCTGCATTTCCTGTCCGGTTAAAGTTTTAATTTTTACATTAATTAAATTTTTGCTGCCGTAGCAGTTGCAGTCCGCTAATTAAATGAGTACACTTATTAAAGCATTTGTTTTTTCTCCGGAGTTTCAATTCGCTCCTAAGGGACTTTAATTAGTATCTTTCAGTTGTATTTTTGTTAAAGATCATAATCTAACGCAACATTAAAATGTATACTAATTGTGTGTCATATCTAATTGTCAAATATTTTGTCAACGTCAAAAATAGCATTTAGAGTCTGCGTGAAAATGTGTTACATTATGTAACAAGTATAAAACTCAAAGTTATAAACTTGGAATTCTTGCGTGGATCTCTTCCATGAAGAATCTCTCTCTCTCTCGCTCTTATTCTCCCCTCGAATAACTTATTCGTTTTTTTGCTTGCCTCTTAGTTTTGTCTCCCCCTTATTTATTTCCGCAACTTTCTCTTGCTCTTTCATATTAAATACTCATGTGTACGAAAAAAAAAAAGTAGGCACAGAAATGGATCTTTGCAAAGTGCTTTTGAGCCGCATTTCTCTTCTTTTTCTTGTTTAGGGTGGAACACTTTCTCGTTTTTCGCCACTATATTGATACGTATCTATCATACGAATGCAATACATCATGGGTGTCGGCTTCGGCGTCGCATCGTTAGGTTTTCAGCTGAATACAATTTATGGAATAACAGCAACGAGAAAAATGCAATAAGAGTAATGGTAATATTTATATGTTTATGTTGGGTGGTTTTTTTATTCTAATCCATCAAATAAAATATTAGTCAGTGGGCAGATAGAGTTATGTTAAATAGCCCGTTCAGCAGTTGACTTTATGTTTGTTTTTGTAATTGTATTATTAGTCCATTTATTGGACATTTTGCTTAATTTTCATAAGCTTTTTTGTAATTTCATATTAAATTCTTTACAATAAAGTGCGAATACGATAACTTGCATATTAATTAATATGTTTAAAAAAAATTCAAAATTAATTTTCAATCAACACATTTCATTAACTTTCTCAAAAAAATCATATTTAACTTTGATTTATAATATTAAAATTTTCATTAACAAAAAAAACATTTTTTATCTAATTCATTAACCATAACAAAAACAATTTAATTAATTTGTAAAAAAAAAAATAATGAAAAATTAGGTTTTAATATACATAATTAATTAAATTTGAATCAAAAAGTTTAAGTTGTAATTTCAATAACTTTTACAAAAAAATTTTTTTTTTTAATAATTCAAATTCAGTGTTTTCACTTTTAAAACCAAATTAAGACAGAAATTTCAATGATTTAAAAGAAAATTATTTTTTAGCATTTTAAATGTTTATTATTTTTGATATTTACTAAAAACTAAAATTTGTTCCATTATACATAACTTCTGCCAAATTTAAATGTTGTTGATTATTATAATTAGAGACAGTTTTGTTAAAGTTATTTTAAAGCAACGTTTTCTAGTTTGCTTTGAAACAAATTGTTTACATAATGAATACATAAACGGACATACGTAAACTTACAGTATTTTGTTGCGCTCTTGCACCTTTTGTATTCGCCAAAAATTTACGAGATGTTAAAGAGTACTGCGGCTGTGCCTCGACTAGGGAGGAATTTCTTTCCCTCTTACTCACTCTCACAGAATCACAAAATTGCAATGGGTTGGATGCCGGGGGGTGGCGACTGCTGCTTTTGCGGCGGCGTTTGTTTCGAAACAAGGGGATCGTAGCCGTTTGTGCCTATGCGTTTGTCAAAGGCTCTCGCGTACAACGAAGTGCACCAAAGGCTAAAGCGACTCTATGTTTGTGCATGCATGCATGTATGTATGATACCCATATGATGTGTATATACATGCATATGCCTACTTGTTTATAACGCCAGACGAATGTCACTTGATCGGGACATGCAAATCGTTCATTTCGTTGCCGCCAACGAATTGTCATAAAATCACGCTCCATTTTTGCAATATGCAAAGTTCCGACCATTCGTCGCTCATTAATTGTCCTCGAATGCACCATCAAAGCACAACGATGATTCAAGCTCAGAATCAAACGCATTCCAATTTAGTTCAAA